AGAGATGTGGGGGTGGGTGGAGGCCCTCTCCCCGCCTCACATTTCCGCCTGCTGCTGCAACTGCAGCCCCTGCCAAGGCCAGGCTACTCCCCCCTGACATTCCTTAAGAGCGTAACGACTTCATTTGGCCCTTTCTCTGAGCTCCCTCCGTCCTTCCAGACCACTGCAGACTGTTTCTGGAAGCAGTGGCCACCAATGTCCCCTGAGGTCTCCACTTTCCAAGGCCTTCCTCAGCCATGGCTTCTCCTCGAGACGATCCAAGTCCAGCCATGAGACATCCTTTCTCTCACCCAGGGCCCCTCTGGCCTCCTCAGGTCCGGGATGGGGTGGGAGAGGCTCAGTCCAGCCGGCCCTCCCGCTGTTGGCGTCCACTGCCCCAGGGGGGCCTGCAGTGCTCAGGCCTGCCCCTGCCCTGCACACTTGCCTGGGAGGCCCCTGCCAGTCCAGTTTCTTTTTGGAGGTGACTGAACTGGGCCGTGACCCCCACCCAAGCCTCCCAGGGCGAGCTCAGGCTGTGCGGGGCCCAGGGCCGCCCCTCCCCTGGACATGGCTCTGCCACAGACATAGGTGCCACCCTTGGGGTTGGAGCCATTGCTGGGAATGGCTGGAGTCCGCAGGAGTCTGGACACATCTGCTGTTAATTCTATGCCAAGGGTTAACTCTTCCCTCTCCGGACCTCCCTTCCCTTTGGAGGGAATAGGGAATAACGGTGGGGAGGTGGTACCCACTTCGCCCTTCCCTTAACTGAGATGCAAGAAGAGGGAGGGAGGAAGGAAAGCCCCCCCACCCCCCCAAGCCTCAACCGGCGCTTCGTAGGGGTGTGGGGAGTGTTTGCTTTTCAGAGTCGTGGTCCCTGGACGTTACTTAGAGTCCCCAGGAAATCGGAGATGACAAATACCTTTATTTACAGCGACAAATAGAACAGACCCTCCCTCCATCCCCTCTCTCCCCTTCCAGTCTTTTCTATACCCTTCCCCCTCCCGCCCCGCCCAGGTCCGAGCCCAGCTCTGCGCGCTGGGGTCACTGTATGGGTCACCCCACCCCCACCCCCAAAGCCCAGGAAAGAGGAGCCGGGAGGGGCTGGCTGAGGGTGGGGTGGGCGCCTCTTTTCACATTTTGCTGCGCTCTCAGCC